AGACATTTCTCCAAAGAAGACATACAGATGGCTAACAAACATATGAAAAGATGCTCAACATCACTCATTATCAGAGAAATGCAAATCAAAACCACAATGAGGTACCATTACACGCCAGTCAGGATGGCTGCTATCCAAAAGTCTACAAGCAATAAATGCTGGCGAGGGTGTGGAGAAAAGGGAACCCTCTTATACTGTTGGTGGGAATGCAAACTAGTACAGCCGCTATGGAGAACAGTGTGAAGATTCCTTAAAAAACTGGAAATAGAACTGCCATATGACCCAGTAATCCCCACTTCTGGGCATACACACCGCGGAAACCAGATCTGAAAGAGACACGTGCACCCCAATGTTCATCGCAGCACTGTTTATAATAGCCAGGACATGGAAGCAACCTAGATGCCCATCAGCAGACGAATGGATAAGGAAGCTGTGGTACATATACACCATGGAATATTACTCAGCCATTAAAAACAATTCATTTGAATCAGTTCTAATGAGATGGATGAAACTGGAGCCCATTATACAGAGTGAAGTAAGCCAGAAAGATAAAGAACATTACAGCATACTAACACATATATATGGGACTTAGAAAGATAATGAATGATAAGGTAATGATACCCTATATGCAAAACAGAAAAAGAGACACAGATGTACATAACAGACTTTTGGACTCTGTGGGAGAAGGCCAGGGTGGGATGTTTCAAGAGAACAGCATCGAAACATGTATATTATCTAGGGTGAAACAGATCACCAGCCCAGGTTGGATGCATGAGACAATGGGAAGACCCAGAGGGATCGGGTAGAGAGGGAGGTGGGAGGGGGGATCGGGATGGGGAATATATGTAAATCCATGGCTGATTCATGTCACTGTATGACAAAAACCACTACAATATTGTAATTAGCCTCCAACTAATAAAAATAAATGAAAAAAAAAAAAGGAGGGAGCCTGAAGGTTTATGACTTTTATGAAAGAGAAATGCAATATGTATTTTTAAAACTGTATGATCACTACAAATTTGATAGCAGTAGAACCAGTTATAATTTCTACATGTTTTTTGTTGTTTTGTTTTTTTGATAAACACATCGTTAAGAAATGTATTTATGGGAGGGGGGACCGGGATGGGGAATACATGTAAATCCATGGCTAATTCATTTCAGTGTATGACAAAAACCACTGCAATGTTGTAAAGTAATTAGCCTCCAACTAATAAAAATAAATGGAAAAAAAAGGAAAAGGATAGCTTTAAAAAAAAAAAAAAGAAATGTATTTATTCAGCTATATCAAACACTTTAAATGTCATGTGCTAAATGCATCAAATGTATCAGACAGTGGATTTCCTTTCTTTCCCTTGTACATCCTTCACAATTAGGAATAAATATCATTAATGAAAATTTTGCCTCTGAGATTAGATTTTATTTCAAAATAAAATGCTATAGGAGCATTTCTAAAAGTGTGATGTTTGGAAGTAATTGCTGGACCCCCTGGCAGTTTAGAGGTTCTATGCAACCATGGGAATTCAGGGGGAAAGAGCCAGCAAAGGCAGGGGTTCAGAATGGCCACCCCTTTCTTCCAGGAGCCCCTCTTTGGAATCCTCGGGCCAGCTGGGGCTTTGTCCATGTCAGGATTCAGACTCTCTGCCTTTCTTGAAGCTTCTGCTCTCATGGTGCGAGGTAGACTCCAGCTGCCCTGCTAGGAAGCCCCCCTCAGAGTGCAGAGCCCCCAACAGCCAGAGTTGCTGGCATGAAGAACGTCCCACTACAGGCACAGTGACCCGAGGGATTTGGACCTCAGTGGGAGCTGTACTGTGGGTTTAACGTTTAGGATGTTACTTAGTTCTTTGTTTTAAATTGTTCCATGTCCTATAACAAATAATAGAACAATTGGTGCCAGGAATAACTTTCTTGGTTTTATCCTTCTAGATTGGCTAGTTTATTTTCATTCCTCAAGAGGAGTAAGGGACATAGAGCATGCCCCCGAGGAAAGTCCAGCCATATGTGTCATAGTAATTTAGATCCATGCTAAAGCCTTGACTCCGGCTGCTAATCGCTAAGTGACCTGGCCCCTGCCCACCTCTCCGGTTCATCTCACCTCCTCCCTCTCAGGTGAAACCACGTTGGCCCTTCTGCTGGCCTTTGAGCACTCCAGGCTCTGCTGCCCCAGGCCTTTCTCTTCTCATAGCCTGGAAAGCTCTTCCTATAGATAGTTTCCTGGCTTATTCATTTGCTTTATTCACTTGAAACAGAGGGCTTCTCATCACAGCGGAGGTGTTGGACCAAGCTGGCTTGAAGAGCACGTTCCGTCTACCCCCAAGGGGTGCCTCTATGCCTTTCCTCTGCTCTATTTTTCTTCATAGCACTTACTCTTATACCACACATTTGCTTTTTATTTATTCCCCCCACCCCAATAAAACCCCAGACTGTAAGCTCCAAGAGGGCAAGGAACATGCTTACTTTTTAAAATTAGTCTCCTCCAGCCTCCAAGACAACCCCAGTTAAGCCAATGCCCAATATATACTGTATTTGCTGAATCAATTGAATGCATTGTTATAAATTTCATTTAAAATGTTTAAAAGTATTTCATCTGAATAAAGCTTCTCCTGGAAATTAAAACCAAAAAGATAATAAAGAAATAGTTCCATTTCCAACTTAAGCATTTGCTTGTCTTGTTAGAATGCTTGAGCTTTTAACTTCTCTGCAGTTAATATTATTCCAAAGTAGGAAAAAGGACAGCAGAAACCTATTTGTATTCTCACTGAATTCCCAGATTTATTCACTCCCATGCACTGAAAAAGTCTGAAAACTTTTGCTTTCTAACCTTAATCGAGTATTTTATGACAACTTAAGTGAAACTATATTAATATATTTTAAAGGAAGTTTACAGATGTTTGAAATGGAAAGCACTGACCTAAATTTCAAATAACTGCTTATGTTTATTCCTGGCCTAAAAATGACACTTTTATGCCAAATAAAATTTACCACTCAGTGGCAATCTCAAAATTGAAGGTTTTGATAACCTCAAAACTGAAATTGATTGAGAATCACTTCAAGTTTGAAAAGTAAATTGAAATGCTGGCTTTTCTGAACCTCTCATGGTCAGCAAACCCAGTTTCCTTCTATGGCCACCAAAGGGAGCTGTTGAACCTTAAATGAAACGTTTGAACTTCAACAAACCAGGTAAATGCTTCAGGTAATCTGACCTTCAAAATGTAATGTGATGTATTGAAAAATAAGCAGTGACATAGTTTTTGATTCCTATTAAAACAAAATGTATACATATAACTGATAGATATTGCAGTTAAATTCAATGAATTCTTTTAAGCTTTTATTTACAAGGCACTCTTTTAAAGGGGGATATAAAGATAAAGAACTCAAATGTTTCATAAATGTGTGTATGTTTGTATGTATGTACATTTGCATTACAAATGAGCTGTAGAACATGATCTATAAGAACTGTTAAATTAAGAATGGCCTGGGGGTGGGATGGGGGGCAGGGGGGCTTCTAGGGTGTGACAGATGGAGATGGGAAATTGTCTAAGTGCAGAGAACCGTGTGAGTGTAGAGAAGGCTGAAGAATCTGGCTTGCTTGAAGCATAGGTCACATGAAGGTGATGATGAGAATATCAGGCAGAAAAGGTATGTGGGGCTGTGTTGTGATGACCTGTAAATGCTGGAGGACTTGTCTGTTATTGCTTTGAATGTCAAAGTGTGGCCAGGTGAACCCTTGGTTGGTGCTTGCAGAACCCTGGTGGGAAGCGTGTCCTTTGCTACCTGCGGTGTCCCCTAGTGGGTCTCAAGCCTATAGCATGTCCCAGTAGTGTTTAAAGGTCAGTGGGGCTAGATTTAGGCAAAATGTTCGTGTTCCCTGTTCCTAGGCATTATTCACCAAATATTGACTGAGCACATGCTAGGCTTAGGTTCTTAGCAAATCTTTATATTTCTTAGTCATAGTTTTACGAACTCAATGAAGCATTTTTAGAATTTAAAATGTAGTTGAAAGTGCTCTTTTAAAAATGATTAGTAGTTAGATGCTTTGATTGTCTTTACTAAGTACTCCTTAGAGTACTTTGACAGGCTCTGAAAATCTGTGGCCAGGATGTTTTTCCATTTGATGAACACATGCAGAATCAGAAAATTTCCTGGAATTAAACTCAAGCAAAAATGTATAGTATGGGCTTTTATATAAAAGGAACAGGACAATAACTTCAATTACAGGACAATAGCTTCAAAAAACAGGTGGAGATGGTTCAAACAGATTTGGGTCTTCAATAAAGGCTGCTCTTTAGAACAGAGGGACATTTTCCTTCTAATTGCTTTTTAGCAACCAGACTGCCTATCCATTTTTACTAAAGTATTTCCTGGTGTTGTACTTAATCCCAGAAGCTATATATGTGCATCTTTCTTCTCCTACAGAGGAAGATTTGAGTTGTTTCCTGTCTTAACTGGTGCAGACACGCTTCTGTGGGCCTTCTGTTCATGTCTCCCAGAATCTGAGTACAAGATTCTTAGGGCATCCATTTAGGAGTTACTGGATTATACTGGAGTTGTTATTCAGTTATAATAAATAATCTTAAACTCTTTCCCAAGGTGTTTGTACTAATTTGTACTTAAAACCAGAAGTAGCTACCACCGAAGTCCGGTATTCTGTTTACAAATTTCTGCAGTTTACTAGTTACAAAATGGTACCTCATTATGATTTGGATTTCACTTTTGTGACTTCTAAGGAAGTTGAGCATCTTTTAACATAATTATTAGCCATTTACCTTTCTTTTCAGTAGAATATCTGATCATGTATTTTGTCCTTTTTAAAAAAATTGGCTTTCTTGTTCTTCATATGTTTTGGATACTAATTCTCTGTGTATTATGTGAATCCCAAATATCTTCTCCCCAGTGTATGAGTTGACATTTCGACTGTTTTTACAGTGTCTTGAGGAACAGAAGTTCTTAATGCATTCTGTCTTCTTCCTTTTATGATTAATACTCCTTGTGAGTCTCCTCACCTATCCCAAAGTCAGGGTCTCCTACATATATTCTTCTAGAAGTCTGATGTTCTGTGCCCTTCACATTCAGGGCACACGAATGATCATTAATGTTTGTTTCTGGTGTGGGCGGGGAGGAAGAGCTTCTCTCCCGTTTCCCACATCCACTTTCAATATTAATTTTTGATTCTGTTTCTTTTCTCTGATCTAGATTGGGTAAAATGGAATTATCTTATCCTTTAATATTTGATAAGACTGGTTATAAAACTGTGTATAGAAATTGGTTACAAAACTACTGTTTCTTTTATAGGAAGATTTTAAACAACTAATTCACCTGCTTTCATTGTTATGGGTGTTGTTCCTTCTTAAGTCAAATTTCCACTCTTTCTTTTAGAAATGTGTGCCTTTTGTTTGCATTTTTTTGGTTAACCCTTCTAGAGACTTATTAACCTTATTAATAAAATTTTCAAAAAATCAACTTTTGACTTTGTTCTTCCGCTAGCCTATCCTTGTTTTCTACTTCATTCATTTTAGTTCTTAACTTTATTATTTTCTTTCTTCCACATTCTTTGGTTTATTGGGTTGTTTTTTCCTACTGTTATGAATTAACACTTAGTTCTTGGTTAATTTATTAATTCTTGGTTCTTCTTGTCCAGTCTAAACATCAAGCCTCTCTCTGGCTCTGGGACTATGCTCTGGTGACTGACTCCTCTGCCTTAGTTTCACATCCTTTTTTAGTTAAAGTGTGTTGTTTATATAAAACTGAAATTTAACTGAGCACCTTATTATTTTTGTGTATTTAAACTTTGTTTTTAGAGCAGCTTTGGGGTCACAGCAAAGTTGTTAAGAACAGGTTTCTTACATTTCCTTCCTCCTCAAACACACACAGTTTCCCCCACCATCAGCATCCCCCTACCTGAGGTACATTTATTACAATTAATGACCCTACACTGATACATCAGTATCACCCCAAATCCGTGGTGTATATTAGGGTTTATTCTTGGTGTTGCACATTCTCTGGATTTTGACGAATGTGTAATATCGTGTCCCCACCATTATCGTTATCACATGAAACAGTATCACTGCCCTGGAAATCTGCAGCCCCCTGTGTTTTTATTTGCTGTATCTGACAACCCAGGTCGGGAGATTTTTTTTCCTTCCTCTGAAAGCCAAACCAAGACAGATGATTGCTTCCTTCACCTGCTGATTGTAGGGTGTTTATGTTTCCCTATTAACATTTCTCTGAAGGGCAGAGCCTATTATATGTCTTGCCTTTCTTGATCACTCTGATTCTCACCCGAACTAACCCCCCCACCACCCAGGCTTCTGCTGAGATTGACGCTTTCGGCCCTTAAGGCTAGATGAATGGTCGGTAATCTCTCATTTCCCTGGATCTGTCCTACAGCTTCATTCCTGATTCCACAGGAATGCTGTACTCTCTGGCTACTCATCCATGCATTTTAAAAGATGATTTAAAAAATGTCGACTCTTGCATTCCTAGGTGTTCTGTAGTGAGATGCTTTTTAGGTTCTCTTGTCCACTCTGTTGCCAGCAGTGGAAGGTACAGTGTAGATTATCCCCTTCAAACCTAATGAAATAGGTAACCTTATTACCTCAACTCCACAGAGAAAATCGAGATTCAGAAACATTTAGTAATTTGCTTAAATTCAGAAGTTAACAGCCCAAATACCATCTTAGCTCTTCTGATCTGCAAAGCCTGCATGTTCACCCACTTTGTTGCATTTGCTTCCACTGCTCAATACCTTTTACTGTACTAAGTAGCCAAAGTGTTATGTGTTTAGTTGTGATTTACTTGTTTATTTATGCCACAATCAGACCTCCTGCTGGCAGGAAGCCCTCTGGTGGACAGCTGTGGTGCTGGAGCCGGGCCAGGCCCATGGTTTAGATAGGAGCTGCCCTCTGCCACAGGGGTCACTGGAGAGATTTAGCACAGACCAGGAGCTTGTTGTTGGCTTTACTGGCTCAGAAACTCGATCGTATCAGTTTACCTGGAGCTAATCTGATTCTAGAGAACTGATTCATATGGATACATCTCAGAGGCTGGGATTCCAGTACAAATGTATTGACTTAGAGTGAAGGGTGGACCAGAATCCCTGCATCCACACGCTGGGGATTTTTCAGATGGCAAGATGGGGGTGGGGTGGAGGTACACATCTGTTACCAGCTTGGTGAACTTGGAATCAGAAAAAGAAAAATTAAGTGACCTAAGGTAATTACATGGTCTTCAGGCTGTGGAAAGCAAAGCAAAGTGAAAGTGACACTTTGGGAACCCATGGACTGCAGCGCCCCCAGGCTCCTCTGTCCAGGCTGGGTAATATCCAACAAAATTAATGTTTGTAATAATCAGAAAGGACAAGTGATAAGCACACATCGGGTGTCTACAGGATCAGTACACCAGGTGTCATGGATGCAAAGATGACTAAGATGGTGACCTGCCCTGGGGAACTGAGCATCTCAGTTAACTCTAGAAAATTCTCTTTTTATGTCTGTGTGGAGCATTCTTCACTTGTTGCACTGCGTGCAACATTCCAGGCCGGGGAAACTGACTCCCGGGTCTCCAGGGTCTTCTCAGCACTGTGCGGACAAGATCCTCTTTGGGCAGTTGCTTCTCCGGGTCCCTCTGATCCATTTTTAGGTCACTTTTCACCCACAGTCACCCTGTGTGCTGTGTGCACAGGGCGCGGCTTCTCACAGTGACTCACGTGGCACTGCAGGGGGAGGGTGTGGCCCGGGTCAGCCCCCTTTGCCTCTGCCAGCGGTTTCCCAGGGAGCGATGACAAACACCTTGGGTTTCATTTTGTGTTTGTTCACGGGGTGGCTGCCCGAGGAAAGCCTGCTGGCTTATTTCTGTCACGATGGAAACGCGGAAGCTTGGGATTGCAAATAAGACGCTGGAGTCTGGGGAGCATGGGAGCGTCTGGTTCAGGAGCAGAATAACTCCAAAGTAACCTGACACTTGAGAGCTAAGCTTGACCCAAATTGAAGGAAATAGGATGGACCCTGAACACGCTGGTCCATCCAGCAGCCCTGCCCTGGAGGGTCGCCGAAGTTCTGGCTGATGGGCTTCCTCACGGTTCAGTTCAGGGCAGCTCAGTTGAGTCAGCCGATCTGAGGCTTCATCTTTGTTTTCTGGGTCACCCAAACTGGGAACACTGAGGTATTTTGATGTGGTTCTGGCCGGGGTTAGGTATTTGACTCATTTATTGGTTTGGCTCAATTTGGGTAGTTGCAAAGTTTCACTTAATAAAATGTTTAATGGAGAGAAAGAAGAAAGTCACATTTTCATCTAGCTAAGGAAGGTGTCAAATTAACTATTTAAAAGCCTTTAACTCTGTGGGCCCACAGAAGGTCCCCCAGGTTTAGGTATGGGATGGAGGTCCCCCCGGGATGCACCCAGGAGGTTGGACTGGACTCTCTGGGAGCAGGACCACCCCCCCGGCCTCTGCATGGTGTGTGAAGCCACCACATCGAACAGAAACCGCTCGGAAAGTAGAATTTCCAAAATCTAATGGAGACGAAAGTCAAAGCAGTGTAGTTGAGAGGCTGGAAAGCTGCTGCTCACTCTTGTGTTTTGATGGGGCCGAAAGGGCACGGCAGGGTCGAGGGATGGATCCTCAGGTCCTGGCGGGAGACTGCCTTCCACTCCCGAGGATGCTGACGGGATCTGTGCACACAAGTCTTCCTGGAGCCTTCCCCAGTCCCACAAGTCCTGCTAACCTCCTGGTTCCTGCTCAGGATGGTAAATTGACTTTGTACTTGACCTGATGTGAAGGAGGGCTTAGGAGAAAGTGGATGCAGAGCAGCCAATCTGGCCTCAGTTTCAGGGGCTGGCAAGGCTCTGGGTCCCTGGCCCTGGCTGTCAAGGAGCTGTGGGTGCCTGGCGTCCCTGGTCTCGTGCCTGGTGAGGGGCAGCTCTGTCTAGGATATTGCTGGTGTGGCTCTGGTGAAAATCACCTTTGCTCTGGCTGTCTTGCCATCCACCTTTTGGCAGGAGAGTCCTATGGCTCCACCTGTGTGGAGCCTTGGGAGGTGAGCGCCAGGAGAAACATGTTAAAGTAAGCCATAAAAAGAATGAAATTGTGCCATTTTCAGAAACATGATGGACTTAGATTTATTTCATACAGAGTGAAATAAGTTAGAAAGAGAAAAGCAAATATCATACATTAATCCACACAAGTGGAATCTAGAAAAAAGGTACAGGTGAACCTATTTGCAGGACTTGAGTGGAGACACACACATAGAGAACAAATATATGGATACCAAGGTGGGAAGAGAGGATGGGATGGATAGGGAGATTAGGGTTGACATATATACGCTATTGATATGATGTATAAAATAGATAACTAATGAGAACCTATTGTATATCTAGGGAAACTCTACTCAGTTCTGTGGTTACCTGAATGGGAAGGAAATCCTAAAAAGAGGGGATATATGTGTACCTATAGCTGACTCACTTTTCTGTACAGTAGAAACTAACACAAAATTGCAATACTCCAATCTGAAAAAAAAGGTGAGACCAGGAAGCCTGGGTAACTGCAATTGTGGGAATCACCCATTTCCTTTTCTTTTATCAAGAATGGGCTTTTCCCTGAACAGAAAGATGGAGGCCTTAGGTTTGCTGTAGCAAGTCCTTGTTTATGGAAGAGGGGACTGTTTATCAACACCCAGATTCTGAGAATTCCATCCTGTTTCTTTCATCGCCACAGTCAGCCTTCAACATTTAATGAAGACTCATGGGCGGTGACTTCCCCCACCCACAGACAAATTCCTCTAAGGAATCATGAGACCAGTGACACTCAGCAGCTGTTTAAAAGACTGTTTAGACTCCTGGAATGATGCTGGGAAATTCTGGGATTTACAGTCTTGGTCAAGAGGGGCCCTCAGCTGAGAAATCCAGCAGTATAATAATCTCAGTTCAAACCCAGGGGAACCTTCTTTTCAAAATCTACTAGTCTGCTCCTCTTGATACAGTTACTGCCAAGTGGTGGAGTTTAATGTAACAAACAAACAAACACAAAAAAACTACTATCCTTTCTGCTCTGGATCACATAACATAACATAGGAGACCAAATTCTACATGAAAATGGTTGGATTCAGTCATTCCATGCTAAATGCTTGTGTTAGAGGCTATAACGTTCACTGTGGGCTAATAGTGAATTCTAACAGGTCCTGAGAGAGAAAGTGAT